GAATGCATGTTATTTTTTATTGTATGTATGTACATATATATATATATATGTTTATATATATATATATATTTATGTATATGTGTATGTATATATATATATATATTGATTATAATTTTCTCTTTAGTCGTATACAAGTACAATTTGATATTATGTTCATATATTTGTATACATACAATTTGTTTTACATGAAATTATATTTATTTGTGCGATTTTGTGAAGCTCATTCCAAGACGGTGTGATCCGGATACGAGTGCATTTCCCAATGCACTATCTGGTTAATCATAGTTTCTTGATGGCAAGTTCGACTATCCTGCTCATTCTAGTATAATATACAGTTTTCGGCGGTCTCGGAGTGCAGTTGAGCATATACGAGAATTTAGCTCTCTTGAGAACTGAACCGCACCAGCTATTTATCGGCCGGAATAAATTTCAATGATATCTTTCAAATTCTGCACCGAATATACATAGTATATCAGCATTGCGTCCCGCAGGGTACTTAAAGTCTACGTTTGCGCTATGTATGTATTTGAATCCGGGCCTTATATCACTGCAGCACACTCCAACCTAAGTTATACTTGTGTCCTATTCTTGCTGTCTTGATAGATGAGATGTCCTTCGAATTCGCCACTGAGGTACCCCGCAAATTTGCTGCCCTGCTGAATCCAGATCTATACGCACACTTCATCGAAGATCTTAACGGCTGTTTCCAACGCGAGGTCTCGTATTATAAGCAGATAAGAGAGTATGTCATATCAATCGCTGGTTCTGCCACTTGTACGCGGAACATCACATATTCAATTGAACGATATCATACTCGATTGAATGATACTAAATTGAATGATATAGGTAGAATGCCACGGAGCATGAATCGCACGCGCAAGCGTTTATATGTTCCCTTTTTCTTGTGCGAGCAAGACGGTGTCTGGTAAGCGCTCTGCATGCACAGTATCGCGACTGGGTCAGCTTCTATACAACTCCGCTGGAAAAGTGGGTGTGAATTACTGGAAAAGTGGATGTAAATCACTGGAAAATTGTATGTGAATCACTGGAAAATTGTATGTGAATCTCGCACTCGTGAGCAATGTCTGATGCTTGACACCATTTGCTTCATCACCCATGTATATACACAGGCAAGGGCGATGTTGCTACCTCCGATCGCCCGCACTATGCCAACACTGCAGGACTCTTCAACTGGCTATAGAGGTGAGCCAAATTGCCCTCAATCGGTTCAATGAAACACTTCTCCATCAGCACGGGCTGCATGTGGCGCTGAGAAGGGTATGTGATGCGCGGCATAGAACATAGGCCGGCTGTTACGTTTCGCTTTTTTGTACACCCTCCATAGGGAACTATTGTGTACGAAACGTTTGCACTCCATTCTACTATTCTAATCTGATGAGTGAGGAAAAGTAACAACGCGATTTTCGCAATAGAAAGCCGTGATTCAAATGGTTGGACGAACGGCTGGTTCATATATCGGCACAATTTGAATGTTGCATTAGCATTGGAGTGTGTCGATAGAATCATATATTGTCTACATGTCACTCGGGTAATCCAATAGGGGGCATGATAAATTGGGAGTGGTGAATAATTGTACGAGAAAACTCCCGGTGTGGTGAATGGGATGACTGCTTTGTCATATCCTATACCCGAATTGAGGCATATATCAGGCTATTCGAAGAGTGTGTCAGAGTAGAAACCCAGCTGTACCCAATCAACGTAATCACTATGGGTGTTTTTATTTCTGCATCACACACCTGTCTGCAAACCGTTTCCTTCCTGCTACACACAGGAAGAGATCACCATTGCCGATGACTACTTCGGCACAACGAGTGGCAAAAGACGTAGCATACCGTACACATTCACGTGGCTGGAGTTCGCCCAGATGGGCACGGGTACAATGCACATCCAACGCACTCCGAATGACAAAGAGCAAGATACGCCTGTACCGCCCACGGTGGATATGCGGGACCGGAAGCCTATGTTGAAACGTGGAGGTGTGTTTGTGGTTAAAACAATGCTTATGGGCGTGGGAAACACTGTCTTTTACATACAGTATGCTCAATTGAAGGACATCACTATTATACCAGATAGCTTGTTGACTGGTTCAGCAAGAATATCAGTACAGTGGTCTCCGGGTATCTGGGTTTAGAGCTCATCATCGCGCGAGACTCGAGGAGATGTCCTTGCTTTTTTGGTGCTTGATAAACATGCCAACTCTCAATGTCAATGAACACCTGATAGTTTAATACTCGTATTCTTCGTTACTATTCCTTGCCAATAGAGGATGATGGTTTCACGAAAAAGATGAAAGAAGGAGGCCTCCAGCACACAAAACAAGACGGCGCGAAAGTGATGCTGAATTACAACAGCTTGCCTCCGCTAGGGTCTGTCTCCGCCCTTGCAAGGACGCCGTTAGTGAGTCCGAATACGAAAAGGAAAGCCGGACCAGAAAAGCGATACGGTCTACCAACTACCGCAAAGAAAATACCGCCACCGGTGCCGCCGAGGAAGAGAGGGGGGGCGAGTGTAAATAGCCAAAGGAGTGAGGATAGCGCAACAGAGGGTGCAGACGATGGGAAGGGGTTTGCTGAGGGCATGGAAGGGTCTGTAAGTGGGCCTAATGCTGAGGAGAGTGGGGAGAGCCCTGGGAGTGGGTCTGATAAAGCTGCATATGACGGCGATGGTCACATCCAAGCAAACTTGGGGGTACAGATGGACGAAGAGGTGCGGGGTATTGCCCACGGCCTCTCGATCACAGCCACAGACCGAAACGATTGCACCGAGGGGGATCCGAATACGACTCGAGGAGTAGGAAAGCAAAGTGACATCGATGATGTTTCATTTGCGCTGCAACAGCTGGCCCTGTCGCTTACACCTCCACCAGGAGCGCTTGAGAGGACTTCCGGAGGAATGAGTGCCCAAGAGATGAACGAGGAGCAACCTACAAGCCTGTAGCGTCGCCCACGGATGAACATTCCAGATATTGTTTATTGTGACTTGCACTTCTGTCACTTGGGTCTACAAATCATGCGCTGATATTGTTGTACACTGGGCGCCAGATCTAAGGGCGTGGGCAGGATACTAAGGTGAATGTTCGTAATCGACCACGAGATGTGCCACAATATGGTCGAGGTGATGGTTGTAGTGTACTGCCATAAACGAATCCGGTAATCTTTGTGTTCTGCTTTTGCAACTACAACTACATCGACGCACTTGCATGCATCGCCGGTCATTCATAAGAGTAGACAGTAAACAGCACGCTCAATGCGGCCGTGGAGGATTGGGTGTCTAAGAGACTTTGATTAGTATGTGTCGGGGCGCTCACGAGAAAATTTGTGCGCTGATGACGCATAAAGTAACTGGAGCATAATTATTGATAAAGGATTATCCTTCGCACTCACATGATTTGCAGCGAACTGTATGTCGCTGTAGCATGCTTCTGTGCACTGAAACACGCAGTCGTAGTGGCCGAGATGTTCCTTCGCCCGGACTCCAACCCCAGAACCCACACAGGAATAGCAGGCTCTGGTCCTGGTGATACAGCTGCCCAAACCTCGCAGCGACTGAGTCGCGCCTACTTGTTCTCAGTAGACCTCGGCTCAAGCAATCGCTGGCACGAATTGGTGGTTTGATATGTAATCACAGATGTGGTTAATTTTGGGGAAAACAAGCGTCTCTATCCCGAGTAGGGTAGCGAATACTCCCGCCACGCTTGCAGTCGAACAGGGTGACGAGCTTTCATCATGCGGATCACTCGCATGCGAACTTATGTATAGCTTCCAGAGACAAGTGGTTAGAGAACAGTCATGAAACTTGAACGTCGTGGAAGAATGAATAAATTTACATCGAGGCGACCTGAAACAAATTGTGTATTATATGACAAGTGATGTATTGCTCATTTTCATTAAGCCAACAGGCGCTTTAAATTTAATACCAAAGCGTTGCTTCTACCACAGTATAGGCGATGCTTGCGGTTCAAAATGTACCAGACAAGATAGGCTGAAACCAAATCTTCGCCAGATGTATTGGGTCGGATCTGTATTTTTGTCGTTGCCTATGCCAGTCGATTTAGTACATGCTCCTCTCGTCCGGCTGTAAGAGATTTTAGTAAATACACTTAGTTTGAAGTGTTATTGACAGTATTATGCAGAGAATGGTAAAAATGGGTTTGGAATACCAATATAAAAGCAGACATTCTATTCGTTTGCCGAATGATAAGATTTTTCCAATTTAATTCGTAGCTAATTTCCAATGATAGCGCTATGATCTCACTGACACCGCAGTCGACCATCCGAATTGCATCTGTATCCCCAACCTTATACTGAAACGTTCTAAAGTTTTATCAGTTCGAGAAATGTCTGACGGTTGTTGGTCCGTACGCGTTGTGTGGCTTTACTGGTTTGTGCCTCTCTCAGATCATCATGTATGCTTTTTGAATCAGCCAAAAGTATACTCAATAGTCTGTTATAAAGGCAGTCATCATAAATCAAGTATCAGTATTGTGCTCCAAAGTGTGACGGCGAAGGCGTCAATTTGAGTAGCATGCCGTACGACCTCCGTACGACCTGAGATGCCAGCTCAGTGCAAGTTTTTAGTATAGGACCGAACTCGACACACCTGTTTTATCAAACTTCTCGTGATTCTCCTTTCGCATCCGTATCAATCGCCCCCCTCGGCCCATCATCGACACGCCATTTTCCGTCATTGAAATTGCAAACCGCTTTTGCCAACTTGGATCCTGTCGCCGTATCCAAAGTGGTAGATTGTTTTGCGCATCCACGGTAGAATCTTGAGAATTCATGGTAGAATCATGAGATTCCATCGTAGGGTCGACTCGGGTTGATTCGTCCAAGGGCTGTTTACTGCAAAACTGAGCCGCAAGGGCTTCCCCAGGGTGCAACATCCCAACTAATTTGTAGTTGCGATACAAAATGTATGCGACAGGCCCGTACAGGCCCGTACATATCTACGACAGTCACCGATATCATCCATAGGATTGCAAATACGATCGGGAGACGGTTTTTAACCAGGTGCAAATCCTCGTCGTCGCCGCCCTCCTTAGCGTCGTCATCCACCTCCAAGAAATAATGTAGTACGTATAATACTACCATTGTATTTAGAACTGTGATACCAACCCGTAAATTGGAATGCCAATTCGAGAAGGCTTTGATGTGCCGAGAGTACCATGTGTAGTAAACCAGAAAGCATACAAGCAATATGCAGTACCCTTCTTCGAATATACCGGCGACTTTAGCGTAGGCGTGATTGTTGATCTCCACAACGATACGAAACGGAATGATTAACAAAAGTGCAATAATTGCCATTAAAAGCAACGGGATGTAGTAAAACTTGCGTTTTCCCTGCTTTGCTATTTTCTCGGTGTGAAACAATAAGTATATTAACCGTTGCCTGGCCACCAATGAGCTTAAATTGATTTGTACAAGAGCCAACTCGATGCAGCCAAACACGGAGGTTTGGATTGCAAAATGAACCTTGATTATTCCCAGGCTTTCCAGCATTTCGAGATATGCTGTCAGCACCATCATTGTGCTTACGATTAACACGACCACTGTATGTTCTATCATACGGCTCTTGGTAACACTTCAGTACGGCGGTATAAACAATAGCCCACAGTGGCAGCGATTTCGCACAAAACCACACACGCTGCCACAAGCGTACCCAAAACCGGCCTAATGATAGAATCGTGTAAGTCGTATTGGCTACTTACCAGCCAGTATAACAGATCAAAGATCATCGAGCTGACGATGAGATTACAGACGTAGAAGACTGCCGTGATCTGATTGAACTGTTCCCCAGATATCGATTGCGTTCTATGTACATTTTGCAGGGTTCTATATATGTTGTGTGTTGTATGTGATTCCTCATCATTGGTGTCAAACGACTCCGATACAGGTCGTGTCTGCACATAATTCGATGGTCTACAAGGCATCTCTCCTATGGATTCAGGCGGTTCTGCTAGTACTTATTTATCAGAACAGTGTTGCACTAACACTGTCTTTCGTAGTGACATATCGACGAACAGGCTTAGAGTGACCCAGGTCGACTTGCCTTTCTTTTATAGATTGTATTTATCTGAATATACTTTTGGGAATTTCCGCCCTTTTATGCATAGCCTTGATATAGGACGGTTCGACTTCGTCCAGTCTGCACTGAGTGCACTCTACAACACAGTGTTCATACAGGGGAGAGAGGATGTTTACTTTGGGGGCAGGCCGGCAGGGGGTTTTGGAAAGTTTGATACTTTTTTTGAAACCAAAATGAAGGTTTTTTATAGCCTTCTAAAATAGCTGCGTTGGCATCCAACAACGACGGACACCTGAAAAAAATGTCGCCGCGACACGTAGTACATGTCGTTTGGTGTTGTGACAGTCGGGTCTGGGTCAACACTAGGTCTGTCGCCGAGTGACGCCGACCGACATGTCTGATTTTGCGCGTCTTTTAACCAGCCCAGTAAAATAGACAATATTACATTGTGGATATTTAATTTTAATTTTACAAAACAAAAACAAACAAACAACCAGAATTCAGATTCGATTGTTTTTCATTAAAAAAGGGAATAAATACAATATAATATAAATAAATATAACATTTTAATCTTTCCGATTGTTTTTGTTTTAAACAAATACTGTAAATATTTAAAATATGTATTTATTGTTGTATAAACTATACAGTTTTTACAAAACAAAAACAAAAAAACAAAACAAACAAAACAAACAAATCCAGAATTCAAATTCGACATTAGGTTGTTTTTCTTCAGAAGAATACTATCTATTTGTGAATAATTTGTATGTATTCTTTTGGAAAAAAAGCATTTTTGATAAACTTTGAACGTGAAGGTTTTTTTTGCGTTTTACTTAAAAAAAGGTTAACATAGTGATTATATTTTGACCAACAAATTCCCGGAAAGTTGTGGTTTTAAATTTATGATCTATTTATTGGATCAACTGAGAAAGAAAGAGTTACGGCTCGAAACCTCGGGAATATTTTTAAAAAACAAACAACAGAGCATCTTTTCGAAACAAATAGCACAGACGAACATATCAAATATTGGAGAGATTTCATTGACTAAAATTGTTTGCAATAGAGTGAGTGAATCACTGAAGAGCGAAGACTGTCATAACAAAATACATATTGATTTTTTTCATAGCCTAAATTAGTCATCATTGGTCATATTTAGCCAAAGATTTTGTCTTTTAATTTATTTTATTAAAAATACAAAACACTATTTGGAATTCACTTTTTTGTAAGGTCAACCATGTTGGTGTTGTAAGTACCGAACTGTTGGGTAATGCTCCTGGGCGTTAATAAGAGTGCGATAACTTCTAAGTGTGGGCGATAACTTGTGTGAAAACTAATAAGTTCTAAAAGTTCTAAGTTGTATAGTACGGTTTGTTGGCGAACGGCCGTGCAGGCTCGAAAGGAGAGAAGGTTGGTGTATGATTGGTGCTTTGCGAACCGAAGTGCGGGGTAATATGAGCTGGAGGTTGGCAGATGACGATATATGTTGAATGGATTTGTAGAGCAGGATTCTGAAGGAAATCCTTCGAAAGTAGTATAAATACGTAATTTAGTTCATTCAAGAAGTTCATTCTGCTAAGGTAGACGTTTATTCAACGATAGAGCAAATAAAACTAAGTTCATCGTTATATTGTATTTCGAGCCGATCTAAGATTACAAATAAACGTTAGTGGAAAATAGTTTACGAGAACGATAATACAGCTGGGACTGGTCAACCGCCCTGGAGATATGTGAGAGAGGAGCCGATAACAACACTTATGGATCGATGGGATTTGATCAGGGGTACCAATGCTTATGAGCTTGAGGTTAAAGAAAGCATGGTCCCGCCCAGCGATGGCTCTTTTGAAGGAGGTTACACCGGCGACGAAGTCGGAACTAAAAGGCTATATCAGCAAGTCTGTTATTGGGACGAAGGATCTGTACATCGCGGCTGCAGCATTGTATCCAGCGTTTAAGGGACCAATTGAAGTGAGCGGAACTTAGGCGGATTTTGCGAAGGCAATAGTGTAAGATTCGGTCTATTAAGCGATAGTTATGTCTTAGAATAAATAAACACGTAGGTAAATTCTAAGTATCGTGTAAATATCAAAGTAAATAAACGAAATGAGACATTTAGTGAAGTTAGGTATGCCTCGTGAAAACAGCAATACTCTGAGGAATTGTGAGGCTGAGACATTGCCTATATATAATCCTCTCAGTACTGTTTCCGCCGTAGGGATTTTATTTAGTGTTTCGTTGTCACTCTATTAGAAACTATGGTATGTTTTATTGGGGCGAATCCGAGAGACTCATATAATCCCATAATTAGAAGAAAAAAAGAAAATACTCGTGATGTCTTTAGTTATTGTCTAAACCAATAACTCGCCACTATCAAGATTTACCGACTTAGCCTTCATCAGACTGGCACATCTGGTTGGCTGATCGGAGGATCAACTAGGTAAATTTTGCTACCGAAGTATTCAGATATAAATAAGTTGGAAAGTAAATATAGTTCTATTATTAGAACTAGACCTACTCTTATGTTTGGTATTTTACTCAGGCCTTTTAATGACCTCATCCAAATATTTGATATGTAAAATGGAAAAGGTACTAATTAATAAAACCATTAAAAACCATTTTAGGAAACTTAAGTTCCTCGTGCTATTAAGAGTACATTTAGGTAACTTAGGTTCCTCGTATTATTAAGAGTACGTTTAGGAAACTTAAGTTCTTCGTACTATTAAGAGTACTTTTATAATTTACGTACTGCTTAAGAGTACGTTTATAACATAGAGTCTAATGTGGAGGCCCAGCTTATTACAATATTGCGTATTTCTCGCAAGCAAGAATATACAACGTTATAAATACGTTGTACCTTCTCTAGCCATGGTAACTCATGGTGATCAGGTTCGTCCTTGTTAAAGGGTATTTGTAACTCACTATATCTGCCACAAAAATAGTGAGCGGGTGCAGTTCCTGTAACCGGATCAGCACACTCGTTCATCTGTGTTTGTACCCACTTAATGTGGTACGGCCAATCATCTGCATCATCCGTAAATACAGTACGTAAGAAGAATTTAAGTCTTCTATGGCGCGTTTCATTCGCGCTATGCGTTTGCGGACTATATGATACACCTCTCTTATGGCATATGCCTGATACGAGTACTAGCGATTCCATTACATCATCTCAGAACTTACTACCGTTATCAGTGCGCATAACACCTGGCCACACGTGGTCAGCAAAGACTTGGCAACATAATTCTGCCACGGTCTGCGTATTCTTATTCTTTAATGGATAGAGCAAGTTAAATCGTGACGCCACATCAAAAAGGTGGCATACGTAACTGTCGCCCGTGTGCTCGGACGTGGGCAGGTCAACCAGATCAATGATGACCCTGCGCCATGGAACATCTTCAGTCACACTCTTAAGCGGTGCGAACCCATAGCGCTTGATCTGATTGAGATCACAGTCTGTACATGACTGATATACTCTGTCAACTATACTCTGTCAACTAAGCCCATTTTTCTTATCTTCTTTAAGTGCCTATACTACGTTCTGGTGCTTCATCTTATGATTTTGCGTCAGCCAAGCAAGAATGTTTTTATCATTTTGCTCCTCCAGAATAAAGGTAGGGTGTTGAGAACCCACTTGCGTGGTCTCTAAGTCTGTAGTGTTTCCAGACTCCTGAACTGCTTTCGCATGAGTGTCATAAGTGTGCACATGTGCGTTTGATACACCGGACTTATTAATAGTCGCATTATATGTGTATACGCTTCAGGATT